CTGGGTTCCACCTCCCTCTTATCTCATAGGTTGCACACAGAAATGGATGAGCTTACGAAGCATAATTGTTAAATCTGAGCCAGCTGCAAGATGTAAGAATATTGCTTGCATAGGGAAAGATCCAACTGTTCATGTAGGTGGATCTTAACTTTGGCCAGGTTATAACAACTCCGTGGTAGTTGGATGCAATGCTTAATACTCCCTATTAATTGCCTTTAGCGGTATGATGTGGGATGTAGTACTGTAGCTGTTGACAAGCTCGATTCAGATCTAAGTTCAGCCAAGCGCTTACTGCTCAGCCTTAGGCAAGTTGCTTAGGCATTCAGCTTTCACCAGCCCTCTATAATCGTTAAGGCTATGCAGCAATCCAGGTTCAAAGGTCTACACTGAATTTGTAGCATATGTGGATGTGCACATAGCGTTTGTTGTGAACACCTTTTCCTGGAATTGTGTGTGAGTGAAATTGGGTATAAATCTAATAAATAATAAGTAGGATATGTCAGGGTAAGAATATTGATTATATACTAGCGAGAGGTGGGTTAAATTTAAAAATGGGAGGAACCCCTTTCTCCATTTTTATGAGAACTCAACTGGCTGTCAAGAGAAGTGTAGCAGTAATATGGAAGGCTGGAGATCTCACGTCTTCTCTCCTAGGATACGCATATCCTGTCCTCACCTCTTGCTACTTATAGTGGCTGGGCAATTCTCACTGCTTTCCAAGCAATACCTAATGGATATCTTCACAGTCCTATTATGTGCGTGAAAAGGGATTCTCATCAGCTATTTTGTCTTGCTGGCAATGACAATCAGGGAAAAAATTAAATTCCATAATGCAACTTGCTAGCCATAGGGGGAAGAGAGGGTGACCTTGAGGGATAGGAGGAAGAGTTGCTATTAAGGCCACAGTCAGATAAAAGAGGCCTCCAGAGCACGAATGTAGTGTGAATAAATGTCTCAGAAAAATTTCTCCCTAGTTCTCAAGTAGATAAAAGGAGGAAGAAGATGTATTCAGAGTTGCAAGATTCTGTTACTGTAACCTTACAATAAAGGTGTGTCTTGGCCTACATGATGTGGGTTTCCTAGTCTGATCTACCTTGAAAGGATAAGATTGGCCTTGTAACATAGACTCGAGGAATTTCAGCCTTTATTTCCTCCTTTTGAAAAATAGATTAGTTTTCAATAGTGGCAAATATCTGTAGCTTAGATGTCAAATCAACCACATAGCCAACCAGGAGACAGCACCAACCCTCAACTAACCTATGCGAGGCCCCTCCTGTCACCAGCAGTTCTAATGTTACCTCCCCATAACAAGACCCATCACAAGCCTCTCACTGATGACTCACACTTGGCCAATCACAAGACCCATCACAAGACCCTCACCCATTTGACACACCCACATCTGAAGCCCGTATAAACAGAAGAACACTGATAATGACATCCCCTAAACTCTGCTGAAGATGTTACCTAGCCTGGTAATGAAATGTTTAGAAACCCATCCACAAGCTCAGAGAACGAACCTTCACCCTCAATAGACCAATTTCACAAAAGATAAACAATAAAAGTTTATTGACAAGTTAAGTTAGGATAATAGGTAGTCCTTGTTTAAAAACCATTCGTTCAACCATTCAGAATTATAATGGTGCTGAATGAGGAGGACTAGCTTGCAATTATGATGTCACAGCACTTCAGTCACATGATTGCTATTTGTGATCTTCACTGTCGACTTCCGACAAGCAAAGTCAATGGGGAAGCCAGCAGGAGGTCTCAAATGCTGATTATGTGACCACGGGGCATTGTAACCTTTGCAAGATTCATCAAACAGCAGCAACTGGGACTACCCAGTTCATCTAATGACAGCAACTGGGACTGCCAGAGCTGCTGTCATAAGTCAGTGTGGTCATATGATGTTGCACTATACAACTGTGTCACTTACCAACAGTTTCCAATTCCAATTACTGTTGGTAAGTGAGGATTAACTGTGTACAAACAAACCTCTATTTACTATAAAAAACCTATTTCTACAATCAAAAAAGAAAAATTTGTTGAGTAAAGTTCTGGGCTCTCCAGTAGACAAAGCAGAAAGGGCCAAGAGACTAGTTCACTTTTTCTCCAGAAACTCAAGGCCCAGAAGAAGATTCCACTGTACCTCCATAGCAGTAACCAAAGATTGTCTGAAAGACAGTCATCTGTGAGTTTTTATAGATGATGGTAGAATCATCTTTGGATCTTCCTGGTTCTAATCTAATTAGACATTTTTGGTTGATCAAAATCCTTTAATATTAATTAGTTTAAGACAGGGCTTTTCAACCTTTTCACCCATTGTACTACTTTTAGGATATGGCAACATCTGAGTACCACCAGTCGCCTAGCAAGGTGTCAAAAACTTGATGACCCCCCCCAAAGGAAAAAAGTGATGAAGTACAGTTGGTCCTTGACTTACAACAGTTCACTTAGTGACTGTTCGAAGTTACAATGGCACTGAAAAAAGTGCCCCCCAAGCCACAGCCGAGCAAGACACCTGCCTGCCCACCCGGTGGCGCTCTTCCTCCTGTTCGAGGTTTTCATTGTTGTGAGCATTTCTATTGAGGATTGGCAGCAGGGGTGGGGGGGTGTTTGGTTTTTATTTCTCCCATCTGCTGAGTGGTTGCAGCAGGTTTTGGTCACTTCACATGACCCTGGGACACTATGACCGTCATAAATATGAATCAGTTGCCAAGCATCTGAATGTAAATCACAAGACCTTGGAGATGCTGCAACATTCCAGCTGATCAGCGCTTCTTCTGGGCTCAGCAGAAGCACCAGGATCAACACCAAGCTCCAGCTGGAGCCCTGACAGCCCCGAAGAAGCGCTGATCGTGGTGCTTCCGCTGAGCCTTGACAGCCCTGCAGCTCCAGCCATCTCTCGCTCAGGCTTGTGCGGTGCTGCCACTGGTTCAGCTCATTCTCCTCCCCCGCTACTTTTCTAGGATGGTTGCCAATGTACCACAGGTGGTACCCGTACCACTGGTTGAAAAGCCCTGGTTTAAGAGATATTGTCTGAAATCATAAATTATATTAAATCATTATGTGGATTTCTCTCTAAACAAATTTGGAAGGTCAGAAAGTGTTTATGGTTTGATGCAGAATCACATAAAAAACTAATGCTGAATTATCCAAATTTGAAAATAAAGAATAGGATCTTCTTTTTGAACGTCTGGGCCAAACAAAGGATAAACTCCTTAAGTCAGTTGAACTTTAGTAGTTGTTTTAAATATTCTGAGAGATTGTATTCTGCATATGATTTACCCATAACATCTGTTTGGTGGTATATATCGTTGAAACATGTACTGACAAAACAGCACAATCCAGACGCTTTTAGCAGGCTTAGAAGTATCTGGAGTCTTGAGATGCTTAAGAGATGCAGCACTTAAAATGAACCAAACAATTCAATTTTATATGGGATTTAAAAAAATAAAAGGAAGACTAGCTTTAATTACATATCTGTACTGTGGAATGGAAAGTGAAGAGGAACTAAAGAGCCTCTTGATGCGGGTGAAGAAGGAGAGTGCAAAAGTTGGCTTGAAACTCAACATTAAGAAAACCAAAATCATGGCATCCGGCCCTCTCAATTCCTGGCAAATAGATGGGGAAGAAATGGAGGTAGTGGCAGATTTTATTTTTCTGGGCTCAAAGATCACCTCAGATGGGGACTGCAGCCAAGAAATTAAAAGACGCTTGCTTCTGGGGAGGAAAGCTATGGCAAATCTAGACAGCATACTAAAAAGCAGAGACATCACCCTGCCAACAAAAGTGCGTATAGTCCAGGCCATGGTTTTCCCAGTTGCAATGTATGGCTGTGAAAGTTGGACCATAAGAAAGGCTGAGCGCCAAAGAATTGAGGCCTTTGAACTATGGTGCTGGAGAAGACTCCTGCGAGTCCCTTGGACTGCAAGGCGTTCAAACCGGTCAGTCCTAGAAGAGATCAACCCCGACTGCTCTTTAGAAGGCCAGATCCTGAAGTTGAAACTCAGGTACTTTGGCCACCTAATGAGAAGGAAGGACTCACTGGAGAAGAGCTTAATGCTGGGAAAGATTGAGGGCAATAGAAGAAGGGGACGACAGAGAATGAGATGGCTGGATGGAGTCACTGAAGCAGTAGGTGAGAACTTAAATGGACTCCAGAAGATGGTAGAGGACAGGAAGACCTGGAGGAACGTTGTCCATGGGGTCGCGATGGGTCGGACACGACTTCGCAGTTAACAACAACAACTGTGGAATGAAGAATTGAAATATCCAATTTTGGAAAAATCAAAGGGTTTACCTTTTTTTAAAAAATCATAAACATGCTTATTATTATTTTGAAGAACTTAAGAAATTCAATAGAACATATTATATTTTATATCTACTGGACTTCTCAAGTAACGTTTAAAAAAGGTTGGACATTAGATTTTTTGTACTGGCATTATAAATATTTTTTAACATCATCTTGGAAAGAAATGGAATGTAAATGAGATATTATATTCCTAAAACAGGGAATCTGGTCTTTTACGAAGAGGTTTGGCTATACCCTAAACTTAGACTTTGGTAAAGAGGATGATCTTATATAATTTGAATAAAGTGTATCTTCCTGATATTAAGGAATATCTGTTATCTATTTTTGAAATCTTTTTATTCCAAAAATAAGAAATTGAAGCAATATATCTTTACATTTAATGATAAAACTTGAGGACTGACATAATCTCATACCAATATGAAATGGATATTACATGCATTTGGATCTTTTTAAATTAACTCTTTTTATTTAGTTTATTTTCATCATTAAACAACAGAGTTTTTGTAACTGAATAGCCATTAAGCATCCTTTTATGTTGATGTTGTACTTCTTTGTATTTCAGTATTTTATCATTTTTTAAATTTAAAAATATCTAAATTTCATAACTTGAAGATGAGCTCAGTTCATCAGAGGCTTTTCCTTTAATACTGATTACAATTCTGTTCTGATTTTTCTCTTCCCATTCCAGTCTCCATGGGGGCCTGTCAGGGGAACTTCAGTGATCTGTCTGGAGTGATCTACTCTCCGCAGTTCCCAGATGACTATGAGGCCAACAGCAACTGCAGCTGGATCCTTTACCCTGCAGGCTGTGATTCTATAGAGCTCAGCTTCCGGATCTTTGATGTGCGTGATCCAAACGACCGCCTGGAGGTCCGGGATGGACACAGCAATCTCTTACTGGCCCAGTTTGATGGGCGCCGAAGGCCGGGTGCACCTCTGCTGTTCCCCACGGACTGTCTTTCCCTCTTCTTCCAATCAGACCAGTTCCTGCAAGCCCAAGGCTTTGCCATCTTGTATCGAGGTAGGCACTGAACTTTGGCTTCCTGGATGATGCTGTCACCTGACTAAAATGCTAGAGGAAAGTTATATGATGATGTTCCATAGGAGTGCTTTCTCTTACCCACTCCCCTTCTTTCTCCCAAGTGGCCCTGCTTACAGAGGGGGACAGGGGAGACATCTTAGCAAGATGAATGAAGTCAACATTTTGGGCAATGTAACCACAGATGCCTTTGACCTGCAAGGTGGTGGATAAACACATATACTGGTGACATCTTGCCACTGCACTCTGAGCTCGAATTAGTAGATCCTAGATCCACATGTGTTAGGAGCACAGATGGTTCCATCTTGGAACATCTTTCAGGATTCCTCGAGAAATCTATTACCCAAATATTGCTATCTGGCCAAACTCCTTGAATATGAAAAAAATGCTTCTTCCCATATCATTCAATCAGTCAGTCAGTCAGTCAGTCAGTCAGTCAATCAATCTATCAATCAATCAAAATCTGAATTGCTCTGGAAGGGACCTTGGAGGTCTTCTATCCAACCCACTGCTCAAGAAGGAGACCCTATACCATTTTAGACAGGTGTCTGTCCAATCTCTTCTTAAAAGCCTCCAGTGATAAAGCACCCACAACTTCCAAAGGCAAGCTGTTCCGCTGGCTAATTGTTCTCACTGTTAGGAAGTTTCTCCTTAATTCCAGGTTGTTTCTCTCCTTGATTAGTTTCCATACATTGTTTCTTGCCTTGCTTTCTGGTGCTTTAGAAAATAAGTTGACCCAATCTTCTTCGTGGCAGCCTCTCAAACACTGGAATACTGCTATCATGTCACCCTATCCTTCTTTTCTTTAAACTAGCCCTACCCAGTTTCTACAACTGTTCATGTGTTTTAGTCTCCAGGCCTTTAACCATCCTAGATGCTATTTTCTGCACTTTTCCCAAAGTCTCAACATCTTTTTTGTAATGTTCCAATTTTTTTAAATTACATTTTTAATTACATTTCTTTTTACATTTAATTATTTTTTTTGTAATATCCCCAAAGGATTAATTGTAGGCCAGTTTCTCTTGACATCCCTTTGAATCTGTGACACTATGGTTCTTTTTAACAGAGATGGCCAGAACTGATTTTGCAAGGCTGGGCGGTACAATTGTCTCAGGCTTTCACAAGGTCTGTGAAATGATTGGTTGGAACAGTATTTTTATTCTGGTAATGTTAAGATGTAACTGTACATATTCACATTTATAGAGTCACTAATTTCAAAGGGGACTAGAAGCTAAATTGATATATTTTGCATTGAGAAGAAAAGAAGGTCAAATGGACATTTTGCTGTTGAGCTTCTCAAAATTTTAAAGGCACCTTGATCTGGCTCCTTTTGCAGTGAAGTTTTTGCTTGGTTGGCTGATTTAACTTCTTGTATTTTATCCAATCTTTCTCTAAAGCAGCGGTCCACAACTTCTACTAATTGAAAAATGGGTCTCTCTATGGGGAAGACTCTAAGGGTTCAAAGGAGATGCTAATGAGCTGCATTTGTTGCATTTATTGCATCTGTGCAACTTGCCCTTACTACAACTCTCATCATGGCAACACACACATGCACACAGACAGACAGACAAACAGACAATGCAATAGTCCATGGTAACGATAGGCTAAATTTCATTAATAAATTATTGTTCTCACTAGGCCATGATTACATTCAGAATCAGTGTATGTTCATGTCAAATCAATGTAGCAAAACTAGTGAGACTGGTGTTACTGTTTAACATATCAGGAAAGCCTGAGATTTTGATGAGAAGTTAAGCTGAAAATCCACTGTAAAATCCTTCATGATCCTTCCAGGACTGAAAGCTTCCTCGGTCAACTTGCGGACCCTTCCAGGTGATGGATCCCGTCTGACCCCTACCTCTTCCGATTGGCTGAATTCAACCTGGACCTACAGTGCCAATGAGTCTGCCATTGGGGTAGGAGGTAAAGGATTAAACTGCGGGGGGGGGGGGTGGAATATTATACTAGGAAGCTGTTAGCTGGCTGAAGAATTCTGGGAGTTGAAGTCCACAAGTCATAAAAGGGCTAAGTTTGAAGACCCCTGTGTTATAGCTTGACTGGCTTTAGGCAAAATAGATTCTTTGACACTGTAGTTTTGCACTGGACAAGGAGCCCTTGGAGCCATTCTAGTTATGTCTGCCAAGAAAACCAGAGTGCCATTAAATTTACAATATTTCAAAGAGTGCAATTCAAAGTTAGAGAATACATTTGCAAGATGAAATGTACTTAATTCTTTTTCCTATCTATTTCTTTCTTCTGAATCTAGGATGAGTCAACTGTATGTACCATCTTCAGACTCATTGTTTTTAGGAGAATCCCCAAATCACAGAGCTTAAAACTGCCCCTGCCTGATTTTGCTCCCAAAATATGCATAATAGATGAGGCATACGAAGGTTTAATCCACTTTTTTGCATTTTTAAATCCTTCCAGATTTGGAAAAGGGGTTTCAGTCCCATCTTTGGTAATAGTATATAGGCATGGTTATATATACCTCCCTATCCTTCAGGAGCAGAAAGAAATTTAAGGGTCATCCAGAGCTAAAAATGTTGCCTATCCATCTTCTTCCTGTCATAATTTTATTTTTTATTTAAAAGCAAGATAAAATACAAAATTCAAAAAAAAAATCCAAAAAAGGACAAAAAACAGAATACAATAAAGATATTTAAAAAGTGCATAAAAAAAGAATGGAAAAAACCCCCAGCACATGTATACATACTAACTCCTCCTTTACTGAACACTGATTAATACATCCTATCCATCTTCTAAGTCAGTATTTCTCAATCTCAGCACCTTGAGGGTTTGTGGACTTCAATGTCCAGAATTCCCCAGACAACAGCACTGGCTGGAGAATTCTGGGAGTTAAAGTCTATACATGTACAAGTTGCTGAGATTGAGAAATACTGTTCTAAGCAGTCTTTCAGCATTTTCCCCCACAGGGATGATGTTTGAATAACAGAATATCAGAGTTGGAAGGGACCTTGGGATCTTCTAGTTCAACCCCCGGCTTAGGCAGGAAACCCTACACCATTTCAGACAAACGGCTGTCTAGTCTCTTTTTAAAAACTTCTAATGTTGGAGCATTCACAACTTCTGGAGGCAGGTTGTTCCACTGGTTAGTTGTTCTAACTGTCAGGAAGTTTCTCCTTAGTTCTAGGTTGCTTCTCTCCTTGATTAGTTTCCATCCATTCCTTCTTGTTCTGGCTTCAGGTACTTTGGAGAATAGCTTGACCCCCTCTTCTTTGTGGCAAGCCCTGAGCTATCGGAACACTGCTACCATGTCATCCCTAGTCCTTCATTAAACCAGACATACCTAATTCCAGCAACCATTTTGGGTATAACCATTTTCAAGAGCAATAATTTGGAATGGAGATGGATGGAAAGCAGATCCAGGAGCCCCCCCCCTTCCATTTATTCTTTGCAGAATTTCTCTTTCCCATAAATAGTTCTTGGCTTAAACAAAGAAACAGAAACACACTGGAGTGCACTAAAACATATTCCAAAAGTATCTAAAACATATTTTTCAAATGGATAAGAGGAACATTTGAGGAATGGGATCTTTTTACATTTCTGTACAAACTATTCCTCCTTCTGCCTATTATGAATTGAAGCCAGGCTATCCATTCCCTCATTACCACACATTTGCAATGTGTATTTTTCAAAATGAGTTCACTTAAGTAGTCCTCAACTTAACAACCGGTTGCTTAGCAACTGTTTGAAGTTACAGTAGATAGGGGGGGGCTACTTATGACCCAGATTCAAACTTCTGTCAATTGCTTCCCCCATGGTCATGTGACCCAATTTTGTGTGCTCAGCAACCGGGTTGCATTTATGGTGTTTGCAGCATCCCGTGATTGTACAACTGCAATTTACAATAGTTTTGTCAAACCCCTTTACCTTTGATTTTTGGCCAAACTGCATCCATGGTGAACTATTGGGTCACTAAATGACCCCGGTGCTTGCTCAATGACTACAGGGGAAAAAAAAGGTCATAAAATCGGGTCAGTTTTGTGACAGATCCTTTTTATAACCGCCACGACTTATGACCATGACGGGTAGTTTCCTTACGGTTGTAAGTCAAGGACTGCCTGTAAAGAAATATTTAAAAGAAAATATGTAATTGTGTATTTAAATATATAGTGCTCTGTAAAATGAGATGCAAGATAAACAAACAAAAAAAAAGATATAGTCATTGTAAACAGGTTAATAGTATTATGGAGAAGAAACAGATTGATGTGCAGCTCAGCTTTTCCTTTTCAGATATGCTAGCACAGCAACTCTCATAATTCTGAGACTGTCTGGTCAACTTGTGGAAGAATGAAACTGGGGCATCACAGTCTTGCAATGGACCACCACAACAGTTAGTTTCTCATCCTTGGCAACTTGAAAATGTGTGGACTTCAACTCCCAGAACTCCCCAGCCCCAATTCTGGGAGCTGAATTCTATACATCTTCAAGTTGCCAAGATTCAGAAAGATTGTACTAGATAACTAGAAGTTATTGCTTCCTTTTATTCTGATTTTTCTTTTCTTTTATTTTATTTCTATTCTGTCTTTATTATTTTTATATATAGCTCAGGCAAACATATTCAACACACCTTCCTCCTTTTCCCCCCACAACAATAACCTTATTAGGTAGGTTGGGCTGAGAGAGAGTGACAGGCCCAAAGTTACCCAGCTGGCTTTTCTGGTTAAAGTGAAAATCACAATTTCCCACTTCCTAGCTTTGTGCTTTAACCACTGGACCAAACTGGCTCTCTTTGTATTTTATATACATACCATATATATACTTTATATACATATTATGTACCTTATGTCAGTCTCTTTGTACTCCAAATTGGATGAATGAACACATCCAGGATCCTAGCAAACAACCCCTTATCTAGGACAAGACTTTGACTTTAATGCCTGGGGAAAAATAACAAAAGCAAGATAAATCAGATCTCTGTGCAAGAAACCAGGGCACGGTGATGCACACAGAATGCAAAATTAGCAATATTGTAGATATATGCTTATTTGGCACATCTTTTTTCTGCTGCCCTTATGGGAATGGGAAAAATTGTTTGGAAAACTTTTTTTTTTGCTTCTGTTTAGCCTCTGCCTTACCTGACTTCAGTTTTACTAAGTGTTGCTCTGCCAGTTTCCTATCTGTCTGTTAAGCCAGAAAAGCACACCAAGCTGAAGCCAAAATTTCTCAGCTTGGCATAAACTTCCATGATGCAGTCAAAGAAGAATGGAATGCATGCTGTCAATAGAAGGGGCCTTCCTTTGGCTACGTTTCTTGTTGGCTTCTGTTCATGCAAACCTCTCTCTGTGTGTATTATACATACCATACACAGAAATATACAAGGTCACCCAGTGGTGGGATTCAGCTAGTTCGCACAAGTTCAGCAGAAACAGTAGCTAATTTTTTGTTGCCCAGGCCCAGAATGGACTTCTGGAAGCAGCATCCAGACAGAGAACCGGTTGTTCACATATTTGAATCCAACCACTGGGGTCACCCCTATGTTCATGGCGAGTATCTCCACTTCTGAGGTTTGTGCCATGTTCTTAAGAACATTGACATCTTACTCATCAGGCTGCCTGGAATTTTATATAATTAGTTGCCATCTTCTAGCCTTCTGTCTCCTCCAGAGTAATCAGGTTGCTTTGCTGCTCTGCATTACCCGCCCCATCTGGAAGAGGTTGGTATTATTTAGTATATTAAATATGGCACCACCTAGTGGCAGAGGCTTTGCAATTACAGATAGACTGATGGGGCTTTAAAGACGTCCCAATTAGGCCAAAGTGAACCTGGCTTGGAGTTGTGTGATCGCTTCTTAATTTTTTTTAGTGGCAGGCAATTAGGGCACTTGAATTCCAACACATTTGGAGGGTACCAGGTTGAAGAAGGCTGTGGTGTTTAGCAGGCTGTTTGATTAATGGTTCAACATTTGTTGAACACCCATTGATTTCTTCTGTTCTTTTGTGACACAGCTTGGGTGATGTATACGGCCACAGGGACCTTCATCTTAGCCATCATCATTGTCTCATACCATTTGCGCAAGAGGTAGGTTCAAGCTGACTGGGAGATGTTGTGTAATTTCTTGTTCCAATTTCTTGGAGGAATAGAAAGGATCCCTGCTGGGAACGAGGAGTGGTGGTTTCCTTTCCTGTTTTGATGAAAGATGAAAGAAAATAGATTTTGGGGGGAAATAAGTTAAGGCCCAGAGATTGAAAAGAAGGGGTGTGGAGGCTGTATGGGTAAAGGCAAACTCCCTGGGCCCCCATGAAACAAAAGTTGTCATCAAGCACAGACAAGCAATATAGATAGTCCTCGACTTACGACCACAACTACAATCAGAATTTTCATCATTAAGTGAGATGGTTGTTAAATGAGTTATGCCTGATTTTATGACCTTTTTGCTGCGGTTGTTAAGTGAATCACAAGGTCGTTAAGCAAATATGACTTCCTTTATTGACTTTGCTTATCTGAAGCTCCTTGGGAAGGTTGCAAATGGCAACCCCCATGACATCGGGATGCTGCAGCCTTTGTAAATTTATGCCTGTTGCAAGCCCTTAGATTTTGATCATGTCATCGTGGAGACACTGTGACAATCATAAATGTGAGGACCAGTCATTAGTCAGCACCATTGTAACTCTTAATGATCATTGAAGGAATAAGTGGAGGACTACTTGTAAGGACCAGTCAATTGAGTCATCCATAGAAAAGAAAGAGAGAGAACAATACATAATAACTGTTAGCAACAGGGGCATCTTTGGGGATGGTGAAGGTCCATTTTTGTGATCACAAACGCGTGATCAAGTGTATAGGAAAATTTAGGCGTCCAAAGTTTGCTTATAGATGCCACTGTCCATCAAGAAAGTTGTTTCATACAGATGAAAGAAAGGGGTAGTGCATCAGTGACCCCCCCCCCAGGTACTGCTGAATTACAATTCCTAATACTCAGATAGCATGGCCAATGATTATAGGTGTCACTCAGCAACATTTGAAGGGCCACATATTCCATATTGCAGTTTTAAAAGAAAGATTAAGTACTACACTGCACTATGTTCTAAAATAATAATGTGCAGATACCAAAAGTCAGCAAATACACTGGATTTTGCCCCATTAGTCACCCTGGGAAATGTATTTGTGTGATATATTCATGAAAGTTACCGTGGAATCTGACTGATACTGTCGCTATAGTAATAATAAGTCCAAATGTAGTGTTTCCAGAACAAGCGTTTTAGTGGCACAACTATTTTGTCTCATTCCTGGAATTTTAAGCATGTAGATATTGTTGCTTTTTTTGTAGTCTTCAAATATTTTCTCACTTCTGATTGTGCCTATCTAAAACAAACAAAATGCAATAAAAGCCTTGCTAAGAAATAAAGGACTAAATACGAGGTAGTCCTCAAGTTACAACCACAACTCAGCCAAAATTTCTGTTGCTAAGCCAGGCAGTTTAAGTGAATTTTGCCCCATTTTATGAACTATTTTTGCCAGTTGTTGTGAACCCTACAGTCATTAAGCAAATCTGGCTCTCCCTACCCATTGATTTTGCTTATCAGAAGGTGGCTGGGAAGGTTAAGTGGTGATCACGTGACCCCCATCCTAGACAATGAATCTGTAAATACATACTAGTTGCCAAGGGCACGAATTCTGATCACATGACCATGGGGATGCTGCAACGGTCATAATAAATGTGAAAAACGGTCAAATCACTTTTTTTCCAATGACATTATAAGTTCGAATGGTCATTAAACAAATGGTTATAAGTCAAGGACTACCTGTAACTGCATGATATACTTGATTGACAGAATTTGGAACTCTCAGTTTAGAAGTATGCTTTATCAGCTATAGCAGGAATGTGGAAATAATTGGTTTCACTGATTTAATTTAGCTTCATATGAATTGGGTCCATTATCCTCCTCATCCTAGTATATATTGTCCTTTGGCCTGATGGAAGTGGTAGTTCAAGTACTATGAGGAGGCCTATGTTAAAATTTGAATGCTATGCCTCTAATGATGGGCAACCAATATAGTTCCAGGACCTTTCCCCATTGCTGGATTAAAGTGCTGCCTACCTGTTTTTTCCCTGAGTCAGCACAGAGGGGAAAAGTAATTAAGGGAATGGCCCTGAGGGGGCAGTAACTGTTTGGCCAACATTTACTGTCCCCCCCAGGGCCATTCCCTTAACTATTTTTGCTACCGTACTATCTTGCTTGCATCTGTCCAAAGCCACTGCTGAATGGCCTTGTTTTGATTTGTGAAAGAGGCAATTGCTACAGGCAATTGCCTCATTCACAAATACTATTCAAATACTCCATCTGAATATGTGACCAGGGACTGGGAAATCATCTAGCAAAAGATGGTGGGTGCAGCCACGCAATCGAACTCCATCCCTTTGTACACATATGTGGCATTGATGAATGCATAAAAGTGGGGAAGCTTTGATTGTGAGGAGCTTTGGTGGCGCAGTGGTTAGAATGCAGTATTGCAGGCTAATTCACCTCACAGCCAGGAGTTCGATCCTGAGTGGCTCAAGGTTGTCTCATCCATCCATCCTTCCGAGGTTGATAAAATGAGGACCCAGATTGTTGGGGGCAATAGGCTGACTCTGTAAACCGCTTAGAGAGAGCTACAAAGCACTATGAAGTGGCATATCAGTCTAAGAGCTATTTCTAAGTGCTACTGTGAGGCCATCTTGCCTCTTTTGGCCCTGCACTGTAGAAACTGTGTGTAAGATTTGGCTTGTCTTCTGTAGGCTGGTACTTCTACCCCACTCCCAAATTAAAATAATGTAAAATAAATGAACAAATAAATGAATGAATGAGTGAAAGACATCAGGACAAAAATAGTCTCAGGGACGAAACCGCAGGTGGCGATGTCCCACAGAGAAAAGATCTGACAGACTAATTGTTGAGCAATTTCCAGAAGAGAAGAGAATGATTAAAATTGACAAATGCAGGGAAACTAGCAAATAAGCACCAGCTTATTTATTTAGCCTCCTTCCTTCTTCTCTGCATGAAGAAAAACAAGACTTCTGCATGTTAAAATAAAGGCAAGTTTCAAAATGCAGCTAAAACAGGGAGGGATAAATATATCCCCACCTTTTTTTTCCTAGAAAATACTGGAAGGTGGCTCTCCTCTGTTCTCCATTTTTGAGGTCAGCCACAGATAGGGCTCCAGGAAGTAACGCTTAAGCAGGAGATCCTATACCATTTCAATCAAATGGTTATCCGATCTCTTCTTAAAAGCCTCCTTTGTTCGCGTACCCACAACTTCTGGAGGCAACTTCCATTTCTTAATTGTTCTCAGTGTCAGGAAATTTCTCCTTAATTCTAGGTTGCATCTCCCGTAACAGAATAACAGAATAACAGTGTTGAAAGGAACCTTGGAGGTCTTCTAGTCCAACCCCTTGCTCAACCATTCCAGAGAAATGGTTGTCCAATCTCTTGTTAAAAACCTCCAATGTTGTAGTACCCACAACCTCTGGAAGCAAGTTGTTCCATTGATTAATTTTTCTCACTGTCACCACAAGCGACCTCTTTGGCGTGTGGTGAATAAAAGAAGACCTACCTATCCTAGAGATGACCCAACAGGTGACATCTTCTCTCCCCAGGCCTAAGTTATAGCCAAACTCATTTAGTTCAAGGAATTAAGCATTAATGAAGAAGACTAGGCATTAAAGGATGAGATAAAGGATGACAAATGATCAGAAGGGAGGAGGCACACCATCATCTCTCCAAATTCTCCAATCACATCAGCAACATGCCAACTGACCTTATCTCCAAGATAATGGATCATACAAAACTATCAATTTTACACATTTTGAAGGCATGGTAGAATCATTTTGGTTTATAGGGGAAAAAATAGCTAAAGGCAATTTAAAAGGACACAGGTAGTCCTTATTTAGCTACCACAATTGGAACCCACAATTCAGTTGTTAAGTGAAGTGATCTCTGAAATTACGACTGTGCTTATAATCTTACTTCAGCTCTTCTTGGCTTTTAAGACCTGCAAAGGTAAAAAAAATGCAAAGACTGATGCCAAAGTTATTTTCTTCTTCACCATCGCAACCGTGAATGGCTGCTAAACAAGATGTTAAACAAATCTACCTGTATCACAAATCACCTGGGAAGGTGATGAAAACAGATGTTGCCAGAGCATGATTATGCTCTTGTCAAGTACAGTGAGGGGGGTTGGGCATGATTGCGTGGCTACTGCTGATGTCTTGCTATCAGAGTTAGCTGGCCATGTCACCTATTTCTCCCTCTTTTCCAGGACTTGCCTTTTTGTACAAAAGAAGACGGGGAATTCTTTAGTTCCATTCTCCTTCAAAGGGCCACGGAACCGCTGCCAGTGTCTTGGGGGTGAGGCCTGGACTGTAGCCTACCGACATACCCGTGTGGTGATCTGCACGACTCGTGGGGCCCCCCATCACCGTCCTCTGCACACTGGGGGTGGAGTTGCCGGAGGAGACGACGAGACCTCCTCTGATTGCTCGTGCCTATGCCACAGCTATGAGAATCTTTCTTCCACCAATCAGTCCTCTCTCAAATCTCTCATCTCCACCATCTGAGGAGCTCAGATCCTGCAGTTTGTGACTTTTAATGCCAGACAGTTAAAGCGGACTTTCCTAGATTCGTTAGGGACAAAAAGTCTGGGGCCTTACAGTGTTTAACCACTCAAGACCTGCGGCAGTGGCTCTATAATATAGTGGAAGTTGAAGCTTTTAGGCTGAGAACCACATTCCAGAAAGCCAAAGGTCACTTTCTAGCAAGGCTCCATAACAATATCCCCCCCCCCCACATCACAGCTTTCTTTGGGGCAGGAGAAGCCTGAGGGAGTGGAGACGCTCTTGCCATGTCTCCTTGCAGAAGACATGTCAGCCTAATTTAATCTCAAAGCAGCTTTTATGGCCCTGGAATTTTGTAAAAAGGTCCTGTTGGACAAAGAGGACTGGTAGAAATCCCCATCATACCAGAAATATTCCCATGGCATAATGGGAAAATGTAAGTCTGTGACAAGACACCTGTTCCTTATAACTGATGGAAGGAGGAAAACTTTGGAAGGAATGTACGCCTGGATATAGTAAGCTTGATGAATTTTTGGACACTGATTAGGGAAAACTGGTTCTCTTGTTGGTTGTAACATTGGTGAGGCATTTAGCTGCAAACACTCTGAAGACTTCGAGACCCACCCATGGAAACATTATTTACTTGGCTTCAGGGAATTTTGTAGACACACCAAAGAATGAGGAAAAGGAAAACTAGTTGTCCTGTGTTCTACAGATACAGGATAGATTTTGGAACTCTAAGCCTTCATTAAATTATTTTCGAACTGGCAAGGATGCTTCTGTGTCATCAGCTCTGTTGTGCTGTGATTCAGAGCTTGACAGATTTTCTGCTTTCCTGGACTGGGTAGGAGATACACTGGATCGTCCATTTTTCATTGAACATGATTCATTTCTCTGAGTGTTTTGTCATTAGCAGTGAGAAACCAAGAGATCTTGAATAAAAGGACAGGTTCTGGAAGAAAGTGAAGAACATTGGTATTTACCTTTACTTTCGGTAATCCTGTTTCAGATTCCTGGTTTCCTACTGGACCTGCAGTGTGTTTGGGGTGAGGTGTGGTGGGGTTGTCTCTAATGCCCCATGAGCCCTGCAGCTGTAGCCAAGTCTTGGATGGGTATGCATCCATGCTGTTCTTTTTTTTAAAAAAGGGTACAGAATATAGGGTAGCAACCAAAATCCTTAGGAGCTTTGAGCAATTCCCAAATAAGTTTTTTTTTTTACAATGTTGAGATAAATTTCATGAGGAGGAAAAGGTGAGCAAGATAGGCAATAACTGTATAAAATTAGGCAGAATGGATAATCACCTATAGTAGAACATGAGTACATGCAGTGAAGCTGAACTGATAGAGGAAATATCAGAGTTCTTCATGTCACAAAGTAAATCCTAACTAATAGGACAGAATCTGCTGCATACAAATAGTGTGTTGTTTTACTGAATTCATCATCACAGTGGTGATGATGAGGCTGTTAGCAGATCTTTGTGCCAAATTCTTTCAGTATTCCTTCCCTAGTCATAATGGTTGCCAGCACAGAATGGTTTAAAAGAAGGGGACAGAGTAACCTCCTACTGTTTGGAGTACCCATTGGCATCTGGTTAGCCACAATGTGAAACAGAATCCAGGGCAACTATGCCATTGATTTAATGCAGTGTGTTTCAAAGTTGGAAACTTTTAAGATGAGTAGATTTCAACTCCCATGCTGGCTAGGGGATTCTGGGAGTTGAAGCCCACATATCTTAAAGCTGCCAAGTTTGTAAACCCGATATAACCTATCAGGCTTTTAATAATGTATTATCTTTAGAAAAGAGCAAGAGAAGACCTTATTCTTTCAACATCTATGAAGGTCAGCTTTTTGGAGGGTGATCCATTAGCTCTTGTAATTCTGCAGCTGAGAATGGAGTTTCAGACTGGGTGTGTAGAATCTGCTCCAGCTATTAACTCAAAAACAATATCCCCTAGATTTTTCCATCCTATGCCCTCCAACTTATTGTTATACACTTTTCCCAAGGTTTAGTACAAATCAGACCAACACAACAGTTACAAAAATATATTATTATAAAATTAGTTGATAATTAATAGCCATACCTATAAACAAAGATTAAGGGAAACTAGGAATTACAATCCTAGCATTTTTGGAGACTATCAGGTTTGGGAAAGAGTGATGTAAAGGATTTGTTTGAAAGGGCATCCTTTGTGTGTCCCAGGAAGGGAACAATATTAATTAGAGAAAATCTGTTTGTGTGTGCTTTGTGTGCATGTATGTGTGTGTGTGTATGTGTGTAATTCTTCAGGAACAGAATGTACAGAATGTTTCAGTTCCAATCATTTTAATTTCAGGATCTTCAGCCATGTTTACATATGTGCCACTGTGTCAATAATAGGAACAAGAGCCCAGCCTTTGAAACTCTTCAATGACTTGTAAAAAGATGAGTCCAGACATTTTTAAGATTGAAAGAGAACAGTGTGCTTCTTTGCCTAAAGACAATCTCAAATCCCCTTATATATTTTGAATGTTATAGTTGTGCTGTCGCCAAGACTAAATCTAAATCTAAGACTGACTCCAGGAGCTGTGGGCTTAGCCCTCAAGCATGTGAAACAACAAAAGTGCCTCTGAACATCCGTAAAGTGCTTTCCCTCAACAATTAGCAACTACGTCAAGGGCCTAGGGCAGCATTGTAAAAGAAGGGCTAGCAGATTTGTCGCTTGACAGGCTCCACTCAATGTTGGTTAGCTCTCAGTCTTAGAATCATTTTGTGGCAACTGGAAATGATTACAAGGCACCATTTCCAATTTCCTGGAAGGATGCTGAAATGGTATTCTAGGAAGTGTGGATAGCAGTCCATTGGACAGTTTTAAATACCAAACCATTCATGGAATGAGATTCTTTTTCACAAAAAGGGACCTAGGTTAATGCCCCATTCTTTCTCCATTTTTTTAAAGGTTTACTGAATCCCTAGGGCCTTATTTTAGAAATATTAACTGCAAAGTCTATATTCAAATATATTTGGTATTTGTTCTGTCCTTTCAATGAATTAAATCCATATCCGAAACTTTATCAGGCCAACTCCTCTTGTCATCCTCTTGTATATAATTGAAATTTGTTTAATTATTTAACTTATTATGAAATAATTGTGCTGCATGTATATTAAGGAAAACATAATAAAGCAGGTAGCCATTAAAATTAATTGTGTGATCTGCATATGGGCCTGATCTGAAAGTACAGATTGGTTTATTTAAGGAAACAGGTTCATGTTCAGAAGTGAGCTTTGTATACAAGAGTAAATCTTTTAAAAATGTTCCTACTGAAATGAAAATTGCCTTCTTTCCTGGAGGACGATAGAATCTACCATACACAAGGAAAACAAGTCATCTTGCTGATACCAGCATTCTGGTGATGGTGTAACACAATCTGCTGAAGAACCCAGCTGCTCTGCAAGCTTCAGAAAAACATTATTCTGTGTGCATCAGGGGAAAGAGACATTGGGCCTTCCATGACCTTCAGCCAGGGAATAGAGAAGCTGATGCCCTCTCTGCATCCCTGTCTCCTACGCTATTTAGCAAGTTTCTGAAAACAGTTTGCAAACCCCATTTGGTGTGATCAGTACAAAAAAAGAGTTGACTTAGTTGACTGGGAATGGTTTGCAAAACCAACAAATTCTGGTATAGCAAGTTTCATATCCTGCCAATCCCTCAATTCCATAGTATACACGTACAGCTTGCATCAATGAGATATACCAGATGTTCCAGAAATGCATATATTGTATTAATTAAATGCTAAAGGCAGGGATGTTAATTACCTTAGACTTTCACAGTAACAGATCAACACCTTGGAACAAGTTGTATCTGAAGTACACTTTTTCTTGACCCACTTTGCATTTAGAAAGACCCCAAATCCTACTTTATTTCAATGGGCTTTAGGACTATAGTTTGATTGTAGGCAATCACAGATGATTTTCATGGTTATTTTTAATTGAAATGTTATAGGTAAACCCCACTTAATGTCTATTCATTTAGTGACTGTTCACAGCTATGACAGCACTGAAAAAAAAGACCTATGATCAATCCTCACACTTATGACTGTCACAGCATTCTGAAGTCACATTATCACCATTTGTGATCTTCCCAGCCAGCTTCCAACAAGCAAAGTCAATGGGGAAATCAGCAGGGAAGGTTGCAAGTTGCACTCGTGGTGTCTCACTTAATGACCACAGTGATTTGCTTAATGAACATGTCAAAAAAAGGCTGTAAAATTGGGGGTAATCATGTGATCCCTCATTTAATAACTACTATTTAATGATGAATATTCCTATCCCCTTTGCAGTCTTAAGTTGAGGATTATCAACTACACTTTGTACACTTTTATTTATTTCCCTTTATGTGCACTACTTAAAGTATAAAAAAATCTATGGGGGATGAGGAATGAAATAGTGACTTATGTATGTTGTGACATTGTGATGCAAGCTCACAATGTGTATTTGAGTTAGATGCTAAGACACAACTGAGCAGATACTGTGCATTGGCCCAAATATATGACTGGGATCGCGTAACCTTCATTTGACAAGATTCAAAATTGACACAATCAAGAATAAAGAAATCCAACTTTTTCACATGAATAGGAGCAATATAGTCAGTTTCTCATAAATGTGGGCATTTTGTGGGTGAATGGAGAAAGAACCCAGACCTTGTTTCAAAAATTATTACCAATCAAAAATAAGTGAAGGAGTGCAATTCCACAAGCTGCATTAATTTTGTATCTTTCTTTTATATAAGGAGAATCTTCTACAGTATATGATTTGAATTCTCTCCTTCCACAGTGGGAGAATAGTTTACAAACCAGGTATTTCTTGTCCAAAGTCTATTTCTGCCAGACACCCACTCTGATCTCAGCTAAATCACTGTCAAGGAGTTAGCAATTTGAGGAAAATGATATGTGGTTAGACTGTTATATAGAGCTGTTGGTAGTATTATTGAGGCCTGACCTTTTCTGAATTTGATAGCTTAAGCAAGTTCAGATCTGGTTAGGATTTGGAATTCCAGGCCTGTGTATTGGTTTTCTTAAAAGAAAACCTTATCAGACCAATTCTGTCTAGCTGCAAAGAAACCTGTATGCCTGTAACATGCATTGGCATTTTAAAAGCACAAATAAACCTCCTAAATAAGGGGGGAAATTCTACTAACCCTTATTGAAGAAATCTTATAGAATCACAGTCCCAAAACAGTCTGCTGGCTTCAAAACTCAAAGCAGTTTCATCAGACTTTTATTAATGATGAGCAATTTGGAAACCTGAACATGTTTTTGTGGTCTTCAATTGGCTTTTTTGTGGAATTGTTTTAAAATGAGTTTGGGGATAATCTAAGGGAGAAAAACTCTCCACCATTCAGTCACAGCTGAAGAAGTCCAGTTGCCTCTTGAAAAAGCATCTTTGAGACAACCATGACCTGGATCACGAGTGTCAAACTCGACTGCATCACATGACATATTGTGATGTATCATGACGGTTTTTGCCTTTGAAGAGCTGGGGTGGACATGACTTGCACATGATGCATCTGGCCTGTGGGCCACCAGTTTGACACCCCTGACCTGGATGACTGAGAATCTCCATAGACATACTGGAGAAAAAGTCTTCTACAAATAATTTAAAAATTAAATGCATCTTATAACACAAAGACGAAGAAGAGTAGTCATAGAATCATAGGGCTGGAAAGGACCTTGAAGGTCTTGTAGTCCAACCCGCTGCTCAAGGCAGGAGTCCTAGTTTAATAATAATGGACCTCCTATATTGTAATATTATACGTCCCTGACTCACAACAATTTGTTTAGTGACTGTTTAAAGCTACTATGGCACAGAAAAAAATGACCTATGATTGTTTTTCACACTTACGGAACATGGCAGTATCCCCATGGTAACATGATCCAAATTCGGATGCTTGGCAACTGTTTCATATTTATGACGGTTGCCAAGTCCTGGGATCATGTGATCAGCTTTTGCAAATTTCTGACAAGCAAAAGTGAATGGGGAAGCCGGATTCACTTAACATGCAATGCTTCACTTAACAACTATGGCAAAAAGGTCGTAAACCAGAGCAAAACTCCCTTAACAAATGTCTCACTTAGCAACATACATTTGGGACCCAATTGTGGTCATAAGTCGAGAACTCTCTGTACATTCTACGTTGTAATAGAAATATGATATAAAATAGATTATTATTAAGACTCTATCGAATAGTCTTCCTCCAAGAAGATGTAGGACTGTTGAGGCGTCCAGGCCTAATTACTGTATAGTACTTTCCGATTAATTACGATTTAGAATCCTATGGTGTTAACCTTACAACCCTTTCAGCCTTTGGGAGGCGTCTTTTGCCTGTTTCGGGCCATCTTCCGCGCGCGCCGCGCTACCCAATCACAGTCCTCCCTGGGAGGAGACTGAGGGCGTGTCTCAATGCTTATACCAAAAACTGACGCTTATTAAGATCGGGCAGCGATGCGAGGAGGGCCTTCGGTTATGCTAATAATAGAACACTATCGTTTTTTCCTGGGCAGCTGATAGGCTCTCAAAATAGAATAGGTGTGGTTTGCATCTCTACATCCTATAGTATTACGCAACGCATAGAACCCTGGTTCGGACAACTGTGCCTTACCGAACTGCGGTGCAGAGATTATGCAAACGAGATGGGGGACGGTGGGCGCGGCTTGCATAAGAGGATGCAATGGAGAAGGGCAGGGCAACGCGCCCGCAAGAAGCGCGGGCAAAGGCGGCGGGCGACACCCGCATCTCTTATGCTAATGAGGTCGGTGGGCGGGGCAGAATTGTGAGCTCAGGCTGCGGAGGGGAAAAGGAAAGGGGGGGGAAGCCCAAGGAGGAGTTCCCCCCCCTGCAGCGGCCCCATCAGCAACGGCAGAAGCAGGAGGAAGCAGAGCTAGAAGGATGCAGAACCCGGATAGTAGCTGACCCTGGGGGGGGAGCCCGGCCATGGCTTTCCTGGGGGGAGCCCGGCTCCTGGACTGGGCCAGCTCCCCCCCTCATTTGCAATTCAACCGCTTCGTGCTAACGGGCTACCGGCCGATCAGCTCCGGGTCTGGCTGTCTCCGCAGCCTCTTCTACTTGCACAACGAGCTGGGCAACATCTATACCCACGGTGAGATGTGGCAGATTCTCCTCCGACCCCATGCTTGCTTCCCCTAACCTTCTCTCCCCTCCGCTTCCGGGCTCCGATGCCCTCCGATCTCCCTGCCCTCCCTGCAGGGCCGTTCCCGCCGTTGCCCTGGCCGCCATCCCCGCTTCTGCCCACCCGAAGAACTCAGGAATTGCGTGGGGCATCGGGAGGCTTCCCCGTCCGTCCCGCAGCTTCAGCCGGTCCCGTGTCCTTGGGTGACTCCAGTATTTCATAGGATGAGAAAATTAAGTGACAGCACTGATTTTTTTCGGACGCCGGCCATCCCGTAGAGCCAGTATCCCGATTTCCCTCTTTCAGGGCCTGGATATGTTATTTCCCACCCGTAAAAGAAGACATGGAACCAACCCCTTCTGTTTCCACACCTTCCCCCCCACCTCCTAAATTTATAATTCAGCCCAGTTAAATACAAAACTCCACTATACAGTATTTGGCAGCCCAGTAGGTAGTAATACTTTTGGAATCACTAGCCTGCTGGCTTAGCTTGCAGGCACCACATCCTCAGACACACATTGCCAGCCAGCCCCCCCCCCCCAGTTGAAGTACCTAACTCTTCTTTGCACACACATATGTTTTTCTCTAGACTTTTCCAATTTTGGATTATTTCCCCCCCCTCCCCCTTGCTGCCAAGTGAGGGATTCCTTGTACAAGATGGCAAAGAAGACAAGTTTGCCAGACTTGGGACAGAGTTTTGCAGGGAAGCATGGCCATTGAGTTGTTCAATTGTAGCAGTGCCCTGCCTTCTCCCAGAAAGATTGCTATGAGAGCCTTTAATTTAGATTCCATGGGATTCAGCGAGCAAACCTCTGGGAAGGGTTAAGCTTGCACTTTGTATACTCAAGGCCTCGGGTTCAATCCCTGGCATCCTTGTGTGGATTCATTATCAACTCTCCTACCTTCCTGACCCTTGATCTGTGGCATTTTAGTATGCATCCTGTCCTGGACTTAATTCTGTAATTTTCATCCCTCACAAAAGAGCTTGAATAAGGCACCTGTAACATTTAAATG